CCCCAAAACCCCAAAACCCCAAAACCCCAAAACCCCAAAACCCCAAAAAATGCTCAAGAGATTGACTGAACGATGACTATTTAAATAAATTGAGTATGCCCTCAATGAAAATTTTGGAGCAATGGTGTATAGTGGAACAAAAAGAAACAACATTACTAAAATAGAATATTTAGCAAACAAATATTTTTGTAGCTGATTTCTTGAGTTCAATATGCTAAGAGAAATACAACTCAGCTTTGAGAAGAGCACATTAAACAGATTTTAATAAAACAACCTCCCTTAAAGAAGATAGAGATAATGGCCAGATTGGAATTGTTTATTTGACGCTAATATATGTTCCAGCTATATCCCTGCTTGCTCCGCTACTTATTTAAGTCCAGCCTTCCCATAAGTTCTGCGAACTCGTCGAATTCGATTTCTCCGCTTGCGTCCTTGTCGACTTCAGTCAGGATGTGCTCAATGGTCTCGTCGCCGATCTGGTGGGATGAACTCAGCACTGCCTTCAGTTCTTCCTTTGAAATGGTTCCGCTTCCATCAGCGTCGAACATCTTGAAGGCTGCTGTCAGCTTCTCTTCAGACATGTTCTTCTTCGAACTCATCGAAGCCACAATGAACTCGGAGTAGTCGATGAATCCACTCTTGTCAGTGTCGACGTCGTTGAACAGCTGGTCAAGTTCGTCTTCGTTGAGGAGTCTTCCAAAGTGGGTTTCGTAGCCTTCGAGTATTTCTTCTCTGGAGAGCTTTCCATCTCCGTTCTTGTCGAGCTTCTTGAAAACAGATCCAAGCTTTTCTTTCTCGCTCTTCGAAATCAACTGAGATCCGATGTAAGATGCAGCAGCCACCTTGAGCTTCTGGCCAGACCTGAAAGTGTTGAGGTTTCCCAGAGCATTGCTGGCGGCATCAGCGTCTACTTCGATCTTGGTAGCCTGTATCCAGGGATGCAGCAGCGCCTCTTCTGCTGAAATCCTGTCATCTGGCTCGAAAGTAAGCAGCTTCTTGACGAGGTCTTTGGCGTCTTTGGAGATGCTACCCCAGACTCCTTTCTTGAGGTCGTACTTGCCTTGCTCCACTTTCTTCATGATTGCTTCGTTGTCTGCGGCAGGGTCATTAAATGGAGGCTCTCCGGACAACAGAATGTACATGATGACACCTCATGACCACAGATCACATTTTTCGTTGTACTTCTTGTGGATGACTTCAGGGGCAATGTAGTAAGCTGTTCCGAGCTTCTCGTTCAATACATTATCTGGATCGAAAGTCATGGAGGTTCCGAAATCAACAATCTTGAGTTTCTCCAAGTCTTTGTCTTGCTCGAGCAGCATGTTCTCAGGCTTGAGATCTCTGTGGACGATGCTCTTCTTGTGGCAGTAGTTGATAGCTGAGAGCAGTCATCTCATGACGACCTGGGCTTGGGCTTCAGTGAACTTGGATGCTCTAAGAATTTCATCAAATAGTTCACCACCTTTGCAGATCTCTGTTACAATATAAATTCTCTTTTCATCCTCGAGGAACTCATACATTTTAACAATATTAGGATGATCCATTTCCTTTAGTATACTAATCTCATTCTTGAGCATTTCCATCTCCTTCTCGTCTAAAAGATTCTTCCTTAATACTTTAACTGCCCTCTGAATTTGAGATTCCTTATGCAAGCACAAACGAACTTCTCCGAAAGCACCTGATCCCAACACCTTTCCAATTCTGTAGTGGTCCCTGATCTTTCCGATCTTCTTTCCCACAAAGATGTCTTGGCTAATCTTTATTTCTTCAGATGGCTCCATATTATCTTTTATTATTATTCTATGGAACTGATTCTTTATGGGGTTTTGGGGTTTTGGGGTTTTGGGGTTTTGGGGTTTTGGGGTTTTGGGG